TTTCACGGTACTGGACGAGCATTTTTAAAGTTTTCCGTTGGCATCGTGTCAACTGCCACTTTGACAGATCCATCTAGCAAGCCTCATATCAATTGTACTTCATAAATGAAGCGATAAGAGTACCAGCGTCGATGTGACTGCCGGCCATTTGTGGGCGGGCGGTTGCGGTGGGCGTCTGGGTCGGCATGTTGCACCCTGGTTAGGCGCTATGTTGTAATATATGTGTGTATAATATATTTGTGTATAGCGGTGTCCTACATTGAATGTGCAAGCAGTTTGTCGCGCCACTTGTCTTTAAACGTCCACGAAGCACGTTATGTGAGATGAAACCTTACAAGCTTTGAATTGCTACGTTTTATTCACGAAGAATTCTATTCATTTGGTTCAACATCTAATGCACATACAAGACCATACATGGGTTTCAACGAAAAAAGTAACAATGATTTCACAGCAGTGGTGATCAACGGATCACTGCAAAGCTAGTAGCCGTTTTTAAAATAAATTATATTTACACTGAAACACAGTATAACAGTTAAAACTGTAGGAATCATGCAGTTTTTGTCAGATACAAAGAGGTTAACAAGTGGTTTTGTAGTAGGACATCGGAATGAGTTATGATAAATGATATCTCAGAGATAAATATGCCAATTTGTCATATAGTTAAAGTGACGAGACTATTACCTACAGTACAAGCAACCATCGCATTTAGCCATGGACACGACCAGCAATAAGATGTTTGATCACTTCTTCATCGACTAGAGTGGTGATGTCTCCCATCCCGGACTCGGATCCTTCGGCAATTTTGCGTAGGATACGACGAGTCACCTTTCCGGAACGGGTTTTTGGCAGACCGGGAGCCGATTGGATCACTTCCGGAACAGCAATGGCCCCAATTTTCACACGAACCATGTTCTTAAGCTCCTGCGCAAGTGCTGCATTCATCTTTTCTCCGTTGTTCAGAGTCACAAAGGCGTAAGGGAACGAGCCTTTGATGTCGTGAGGAGCAGCCACAACGGCAGCTTCCGCAACCTGGAAAGGGTGGGCTAGGCAATCATGTACCGATAGAAAAGATCTCGAGAACACACCTTGTCGTGCGCCACAAGCGCGCTTTCGATTTCAGCCGTCGATAACAGATGACCAGAGACATTCATTAAGTCATCAACGCGACCTGTTATCCACAGATAACCATCCTCGTCACGACGTGCACCGTCACCGGTGAAATAGTACCCATTGAATGGTGCGAAATACGTTTTCACGAATCTGGAATGAATTAAGCTGAAGTTTGATCAAGTTTTATTCCACAACTGGTTTAATTACAAACCTCTCGTAATCACCGTAAACGGTACGCAGCATTCCTGGCCAAGCACGATCGAAGCAGAGATTTCCTTCACCTGGCCCTTCGATCACACGACCTTCACCATCAAGGAGTACAGGATTCACTCCAAAGAATGGATATGTTGCCGATCCAGGTTTCATTGGAGTAGCACCCGGCACTGGCGTGATCATATGTCCGCCCTGGAAGTGAAGACGTTTTTTGAAAAACGACTTGAAGAATTTTCCTCCAACAAGCTGGTGCTGAGCAGAACCAAAAGACTCTTCCGACACGAAATTGGACTGAAAAAGGTCGGAATTTCCGTCCCACTCCAAAAACGCCAAAAGGCAGCGACTTTTTTTCGGTCCAGCAAGTCTCGGTCCCAGCGAGTGGTCCACGTACCGTTTCAGTTTGCCAGAAAGTATCCACAATGGCACATCTGCCATCACCAACAACGTTATATAGCCATTTCCACGCCGCTGGATTTATCGGTTCCCCGACGGTACCAAGAATTTCCAACGAAGCACGCGAATGTCTGGAAAATCATTTCATTTAGCGATTCGATCAAGTAAATCAAAAATGCCATTACTTTTTCACGGGTTCATCTCCCATTGCCATGAGGGCTCTGATAGCGGTAGGTGATGTATACAGCTTGTTGACCTGAAATACCAACACTGTTCATCCTGAAAAATAAAACTAGCCAGTAGGAACTTACCTTGTACTTGTCGGTAACCTCCCAGAGCCTGTCAGGACCCGGATGACTGGGTACCCCTTCGAACCACACTCCAGTCAAGCCATTCATCAACGGGCCGTATAATAGGTACCTGAACCATTGTGAAAAATGACTACACATGCTCGTCGCTGAACAATGGCTAGTTTCAATTGTGAATTACAATGTCAATTAACTCACGTATGTCCGGTGATCCAGCCACAATCGGCAGTGCACCAATAGACATCCCGATCGGAATGTGCATCAAAGGTGATTTTCGTAGTGAAATAGGCGTATACCATATAACCAGCCGTGGAGTGTTGAATTCCTTTGGGTTTTCCCGTCGAACCGCTGCAAAGTATACATATCAGCTAATTATAATCTTCATTATCACCTTACAAAACATTGATCTATCAAATTTCACGCGCTTTCCCTACTAGCAGGACTAGAAGTAAAATCAAAGGGATACCGTAATACCGTCTTTTTTTGACTATCAAAATTCTTACTTCCCTGGACTCCTAAAAAGTGATCAAGTTGCATTGAAAAAATGTAATACTCCGAATCAGGAATGAAATTAGCCATAAAAAGACGTCACAATATTACCCGCGCACACCGAGCCGCGCTATTCTACTTAGGTCGAGCACGCACAACGCTCTGGAAGAAACGGAAAATTGTGAAAAATGGGAGAATGAAGGAGTTGGCGAAAACGGTTACACTTTAATTCCCTGCGGACGAAGGGGCGTGTCAGGCAGATGAGTGTGCCACAGAAAAACCCGTTCTCTGCAAGTTGTTCAAGCGGGTATGAAGGACAACTGGTAGAGAACGAGTGATACGAACGAATTGTCACTTAATCGCTTCGTCAACTGGTGGGGAATGGGCTTTGGCACCACGCCAAACTTATCCCGCCTGACACGCCCCATTGTCCGCAGCGAACTGGACTACACATCGTTTCGCGAATTTTTTCAGCTGCACATCCCTTGGCTACATAATCCTTACAGTGATTCAAAGAGCACGCTATTCATAGTCTAGTTCGCTATAGACGAAGAGGCGTGTCAGACGGGTTGAGCTGAGCGGTGATAAATCCATTATCCGCCAATTGTTGCGACATACCCGCTTCAGCAACTGAAAGAGAACGGGGTTTTTGCCGTGGCACACTCATAGTGCCTGAAACGTCCCTTATTCCGCAGCGAACTTGAGTATGGGAACAATAGAAGTGTGCTATGACGAAATGTACAAAAATTATGAATGAATGCGCTTCAAATGTCCCCAATAACAATAGCATTGTACGCTTCTTTGCAGCTTACCAGGCTTAAAGTGCTCATTCAAGTGCCATTAGGTACGAGGGTTCAGAAGAAATAAAATTCAGGAGATCAGAAGATTAACAAGCAAAATATCACCACAACATTGTTTCTTCTAGCGAGCGCTCTCTTAATTTTCTGTATAGTTTTACCCGCCATCAGTGTAAGAGTGCTCTCATACAGCACCATGTCGTGCCGAACAGTTGTTGCGAACCCTCTATAGATACATTTAAACTACTCGATAGCGAACTCACGAAGTGTACAACAGGAAGAGCGGGCTTTCGGCGTCCATCCATTCCACAGGAGAGTCGACCCCTTTGTATTTGGCCATTTCAACCGTGTAATCGAAATCGATGCGATTCATGGGCGCATTCTAGAATGAGTGGATGTAACAATAAGCGAATGCTAAGAAATCAGAGTCTCAGGAAAAACGATATAACTCACCGCCAGGGCTGCTGTACATGTCTTCGGGACGGTGACCCGTTTCTGATGAGAGACGACAATGACCTGAGTTCACATCTACTCCGCCTTCGACGGCTATCTTGACGGCTTCGTCGGCAATTTGCTTGAGATTCACGTGTTTTGTTCCGCGGAAGAACCCGTCAGCAGTGACAAGAACCCGACAGCTGAAAAGAGAGCAATAAGAAGCCGCCATTAATGGAAAGCAATTGGATAAATCAAAGCGTCCCACTTCGCATCAATTATTCGAGATCCCAGGGCTGGAGCGGAAAATCCGGCAAAAACTACTGAATGCATGGCTCCTGAAAAGAATAGGATATTTCGTGAAATTCATTTCGAAGGCGTTTCTCTTCAGACTTACCAATTCTAGTGCACGCCAACATGGCTACAGCTAATTCCGTGATCATGGGGAGGTACAGGGCCACAACATCTCCCTTCCGGACACCATGAGCACGTAAAACAGCCGAGAAATTCACAACCTGAAAACCTTTCTTCAGAAAAAAGGCAGAAAGTGGGAAATCACTGTAGTGGCTCACCTGGGCATGGAGTTCACTATAGGTTATTTTGAAGTTGTCGAGGGGTTCATTTCCTTCCCAAATATAGGCGACCTATGAAAAGTAAAAGTTATAAACAGAAATGTTTTATACGGACATCTTTGACTCACTTTATCGCCTAATCCACGCTTTATATTCCGCTCAAGGCAGTTGTAGGAGATATTTGTCTTCGCGCCATCCATGAATCGGCAGAAAATATCGCCCTTTTTGGCATCAAAGTTCCACTCCAGTCCCTGGAGATCAATGCATCAGGCAAGGGTGCGGCGATATACAATTCAAACCGAGAAAATCGATAAAAGGGAGAAAAGCTTCTGAATAATTACCTTTGAAGAACCTTCAGCGAAGTGGAGCTCCTCAGCAACGCTTTTCCAAAAAGCGTCAGAGTCATTGATGGAGGAACGATATTTCTCACGATATGACTGGAGACCAGACACATGAGCTCCGGCAAGGAGAGGTGCAGGAGGAAGGAATACCTGAAAGATGGCAGATTTACCAAAATCGTTACATACGCATAGGTATTTTTTGTTTTTTTCTATCGGATGATCTCACGCTGTGATTTTCTCGTTATACTTCTCGTTGCCTCTTCTTGAGCATTTGAAAGGTGGAAAACAAGGAGAGAAGAGAGAACGTAGAAAGAAAAAGAAGGGAGGAGGAAGAACGGAGAAGGTGGCCCTGCGGCTAACAGATATCCCGAGAAACAAGGAACCATAATCAAGTAATAAGAAAAAAATCAAAGTAAAAAAAGTAAAACCAAGAACTAAAGTTAGACGTTTAAACGTGCACTAACATGGTTCGACGAGTTCATTTTCAAAAACTCGAAAACCTTATTTCTTAAGTGGTCGCACTTCGGGATAGTTTGTTGCCGGCATAAAACCAGGAAAAAGTGAAAATGGGAGAATCCACGAAGAGGACTTGATACGAATCGATTTTGGCAATTCTCCAGTTGCTCGGGATCGACAAAATCGATTTATATCCAACTCTTCGCGCATCTCCGTTAGGCCGCGTTCATAGCTTGCGACCGTGAAGAAATGCAGAAATGAAGAAATGCGGAATTTGCGGAAATGCCGAAACTGCAGAAGTGCGGAATCTGCAGAAATGCCGAAATGAAGAAATGCAGAAATGCGGAAACTGCAGAAGTGCGGAATCTGCAGAAATGACGAAAAGCAACCGATACGTATCGATTTTCCGCAATTCGGCATTTCTGCATTTCTTCAAATCGATACGTATGTAATGCTTTTCGTCATTTCTGCACTTTCCGCACTTCTGCAGTTTCCGCATTTCTTCATGGTCGCAAGCTATGAACGCGGCCTTAGGCCGCATTCATACACGACGATTCCGCGGATTCCGTGGAATTTCTAAATCGATACGTATACTTTGCTTTTCCGCAAATTTCGCGGACTCCGCAGAATCGCCGTGTATGAATGCGGCCTTAGAGTACGTTCATAATTGCTTCAGCGTTTTGAGCATAAGCCGGCGTTTTCAGCGACTAGGAAAGTATACAGCTCTCGAACTAGCGTTTGGAGCATACATAAGCCTTTCATTTTTGAGCGAGTGGGAAAGTACAGGTATAGACTATCGCTGAAAACGCTGAGAAACGGTCAAAACGCTCAGGTCCTGTCGCAAGTCCTGTCTCGTTTACGCTATTCTCCAGCTCCGGATTCTCCTACAGTGAACATAGGGTGGGTCTAAGTAACCAATTTGTATTGTCTTTGATGCCGATTTCGCCGGTTCTCAAAAGATCCCACAAATCTGCCATTTCTGTGGTTCTCCAAATCTAAACCAATATAGTGCGCTTTCTCGAAAAGCATAGCGTGTGGACACGACCTTCCTGCTGCTAAATGTTGCTAAGGGAAGGCAACACAACATGCAACTAACTCCTGAGAATTGTGATATGTATCTCGCCTTTCTCTGGAATACATAAAAAGAGTATGTGGTGGTTCAGCGGTTCCGTATAAGCAGCGAGAACGATAATAACAATCTATCTAATAATATCATTATTATGTGTAAGAGATGAACCTACGCCTTGATTGCGACGATAGTTGTACAATAAAGAGCGAGTAAAAGGACGTCTTACTCGGGACGTTGAACTGGAGGTAGCGGATAGTATATGGAATATGGCAGACTGCTTGCGGACCATTCATATCATGCCTTATGCCAGTAATTAAGGGCCCACGCTGAGAGAGGTTCTAGCCCCAGACGTGGAGAGAGGGGAATAGATCGAGATCGCCGTCGCAGACAACGATAACTATGTCGCGTGCGTAAGAGTGCAGTAGGTCTTGCTAGAATCACGGGCAGAGCAGCACTAACGAACCTAATGAAATCTGCAGCGTTGAACTTTTTCTCCGGATCCCCGTTGAATAGTTCGCAATTGAATAAGTGAGAAGAATCAAAAGTGAACGGCTAGTGCTTGAATGGCTACGCGTTTACTGGAATTTCCCCGTTCAGCGAGATATCTACAACAGACCAGAAAAAAGGACTAATAGCAGAATCTAACCAAATGACTTCATGGAAAGACAAAACACCTAATGCTGTACAAAGGTTTGGAATTAATATTGTCACAATTCCATGAAATTCGAAAAAAGCTACTTTCCTCGATACAAACAGAATCAGAAAAATGCAGTTCGCTTCGCTTGCTTTCTCCTCAGATGACCTTGATTATTCCGTCAACCATTGGCTCACCCATGAGGTCATGGGAAAAGTTAACCTCCATCGATGTGAGAGTTAGACTTACACTCTAACGCGCTGCGCCTCTCGACTAGCTCCTGGGAAATCTTCCATCATAATTCAAAAATTGAAACTTTTCGAATAAGAAGTTCACGACGCTCACAACAGAGAACTGTCAAGGTGGTTGAACAGTCACGCAAGTTAGTAAGCAGGTTCCGGCCTCATGAAAGTGAACTCCACATAAACCAAAGCAAGCAAAACAACAAGGAAGAGCAATATTGCGACGCAGCACTTTTTCCTTATTAGGGTCAATATTGTCGACATAGATACCGAAGCTGTTTAGTTTCGATCTAAGGACACCGGTGAAAGGTGAACTTTCCCTTTATGATAATCAGACGCCTTTTTTGCACGAAATTGCTTCACTTGCACCGGAACTTTACAAAAACCAAACAAAGGCTCAATAATACCTCATCCCTATTACGACAACCATTGCAGAAGCCCTTCAACTGCTTCATCAGCTGACGCCTCAGAGTGATCCCCATTCGCAATGGCATTAAAAGAAGCATGCTGAGAGGGTAAAAGCGGCCCTGGTGGCGTAACGGATAGCGCACTCGCCCGGAAAGCGTGAGGTGCGGGTTCGACTCCCGCCTGGGGCACGACTTTTGCCCACAACTCAGCATTCTTGTAACATTCGGAACGCGTACTGCGGCGTTAAACAGCAGTTATCATAACAAAACAGCTTCAAAAATTAAAAGAAGCATTTGTTTTTTTTCTCTCGAATAGCGAAGGGCTACATGTTAACTATGCAGCTTCAAAAGGCTAAGAAATATAAGTATAAGAGCGAATCGGTGGAAATGGAAAATAGAGAGAATGCATTCACTGAATTGCCTTTGATTGGAATCACAACCCAGTTAGTTTCAAAACCGTCCCAGAGCAGTTATGACTCGGTTTCAAATACAAATAGAGGCATCACCGCCCAATACCTGAGCTCAGGGTGACGACTGAAACCGACATCTCTCAAAAATCCGCTTATTTGCGATATCTTTTCATGAACTGTTCTAAGTCTGGATTTCTTATGCAACCTGAAAGGAGGTTGAGACGAATTGTTTCGAAAACAGGCTCCGATTTACAGGCTCTGAGGCAATACTAAAATCTTGGCCAGTGAACTCCACAGAAACCGAAAGTAAGCAAAACCAGATAAATATTTGTAGCCATCTCAGATCGTTCAAGAATCAACTTCGATAATCATAACTCCGCTCAATCCACGCTAGTAACCAATAGCTACACTAACATGAGAAAGAACAGATAGTTGAGAAAGAAGAAGAAAAGAGATAAACCTATTTCGGACTTATAAAGATAAAAAATCGTAGAGACGAACCTCTTCTTCAGGCTCGGGGGCGGTCGTAATGTTGAACTTCACACCTACGTCGGACATCGCGGCGACGGTTGCTAGCTAGGCAAAGCCTATAAGAGAAAAGCAGAGTTCAGGCGAAAAACAACACAACCACATATGGAGGCAGCAACAACAAGTGAAAGATCGATCAGGCGCATATAAATGAAGAACATGAGTTGTAGCATGTAAAGCCCCGCGCCGTCAGATTCGGAGAAACTCACGAATCGAAAGCGGGCGCTCCTGCTCTGTCAGACAGTGCAGAGAGACTACGACGGATTGAGAGACGCAGGAAAAGCACCAGCCGCCTGGACTGAACGGGGTGCGACTGAAGCGGCGGACCTCCGAAGGGGGTGGGGCCTGGGCAGCATCAGGCCACGCCCACTTGGCGCGGGGGGCATTGATGACGGGGGTGAGCCCGGTGGCTGGCGGGAAGACCCGCTGACCTGCTATTATAGTGGTCTGATCAGAGTTCGCAAGTGGGCGGAGTCAGTGATTAGATAACTAAAAAATCGGGCCATAGCGTCAGGAGGGGCTTTTCTTTCACCCACTCAGCAGCGCCCGTCATAGATAAGCGCTTGAGATCGTCTGCAACTATGGGGTTGACCAATTGAGCCCGTTTTTTTTGTGATCTACAATTCGGAAATGGCCACCAGATGTTCTATTTCGAGCACCCTTTGTCGTACCGTTCCACTGGAAAAATCTGGTGATATTGTAGCCCCAAGGGTGAACTCATCCGTACTAGCATACTGACAGACATTGCATAAATAATCCAGGTAGGCCTTTTGAAGGCTCCACAGTTCTGCTTGAAAGTCGAGTGCGTGGGCCCAAACCGCTACTTGGTACACATTCTCTGTTTCGGCTCACTATTTATTGGAATGTGATCGTTACAATCCCCAGGGTCCCTTTGTTTCTGGGCGACAGACAAACAAAAACTTCGAGATATCTGATTGTGAAGTACTAGTGTGCACGAGCAGTACCTTCGACTCTTGGAAATACCAAGGGGCTACCAGGCCCCGAAAGATCAAAAGGGTTTCAGAGAGAGTAAGAGGACAGTGTGCGAGCAAGCGGTTTGCCAGCTATTATACACGGGAGGGCGAAAAAAGACACTCGCCCAAGGCACGTATTAGTAAAGAATACGCAACCAGAGAGAAAAGCACCAGGGCGGGAGATAGCCAAGATGTTCCTCGATGCATGAGTCGCCCATGGACAGCTACCTTGGGACCGTCACACTTGATCTGGAAGATCTCCAACATCGAGCAGCTCCGACAACGCTACGGTCCAGGATATCATCTTCACCGCAGTCGCCAAGGCGCGGGTTGATGGTATGGACCGGAGTTCCTGGGAATGGGAAGACCAATATTTTTTTTCGTGGACTCCGG